TTATTTTATTTTATTTTATTTTATTATCTCATCTCATATTTATTTGTTTGTTTGCTTGCTTGCTTGTTTACTTGTTTACTTATTTATTTATTTATCTATTTATTTATTTAATCTGGTAGTCTTCTGGCATTTGCAAGCCAGATCTTCTGAGTTGACTTTCCAGATTTTCCAATTTCTCCAGCTGAGCTTTTGACATGCAAGGAGAGAGTCTCAGGTTTTTGGGAAGAAATTGCAACAGGACTCATCCAACTGGAAGAAGAGATTGCCCTCTGCTAATTTCACCCTATGGGTGCTTTGGCGGGGGGAGGGGGAGGAGAGGGAGGAGAAGGACTTGGGGTCCTGGGTGTTGTCTGAACTTGGCTGTTTTCTTACAGACGTTTCATTCATTGATTAGGGAATATCATCAGCACGGTGGTCATCAAAATAGCACTGATGACGTTCCCTAGTTGGGTCATGAAATGTCCGCAAGGAAACAGCCAAGCTCAGAGAGCACCAAGGACCCCACAGTCTTCCTCCTCCTCCTCCTCCTCCTCCTCCTCCTCCCCGCAAATCCCATTCCCTCCTAGCACTGATGATGTTACCTAGTTGGGTCATGAAACATCTGCAAGATTAACTCTCCCCCTCTCTATTTATTTTTTTCTCCTTCCTCCCTTCCTTCCTTCCTTTCTTCCTTTCTTCCTCCCTTCCTCCCTCCCTTCCTTCCTTCCTTCCTTCCTTCCTTCCTTTCTTCCTTCCTCCCTTCCTCCCTTTCTTCCTTCTTGCCTTCCTACCTTCTTTTCAATCTATTTTTCTTCCTTCCTTTTTCTTCCTTTTCTTTTCTTTCTTTCCTCCCTCCCTTGCTCCCTCCCTCCCTTCCTTCATTCCATTTTTCTTGGACAAGAAAATAACCCACTTCAGAGAGCACCAAGGACTCCCTTGTAGCACTGATGTTGTTGCTTAGTTGGGTCATGAAACATCAGCCAGGAAACCACCGAGCTCAGAGGGCACCAACTTTGACCTGCAAATAATCTCTTTTATCAGAAGCAGGAAGCACCTGCCTGCATCCCAAAGAATCAATACTTGGGGTTTCTTTTCCTTCTTCAATTGATCTCCTCTCGAGATCCAATGAGGGGCTGAAATCCACACACCCCCAGGACCCCCAGCCTGCCATCCCCAAAGAGGGGGTCTCTAAGGAACAAATTCAACCCAGCTGCCTTCTTACGAACCAATCTCTAAGCTGAAGAGCTTTTCCCTTTTAACCTCCTTAGCATGAGAAATGATTCAATTTTTCTCTTCTTTGCATAGATCCGAACCGAAATTTAATCTGGTTCCACCAGTTCAATCTGCAATGTGCTTTTTTTTTTTTAATTTAGGGAGGGAAGCAGAGGTGGGAGGCTGGATACGATCCGAGCATTGCTTCATGTAAGTTTCTGCATTTCCCAAGAAATAGCTCAGCTCCAGTGGCCTAGAGGTGGAGCGCTCGCCTCCCAATCAGGAGGCTGTGAGTTCGATCCTAGGTTAGAGGCAGATATTTGTCTCTCTTTGGACATGTTGAGAATATATCTGCCGAACAAAACTCTGCCCCGGCGACACGAAGGGCATCCGGCCAGTAAAACACTCAGCTCCATTCAGTTGCCATTCAAATTTGTGGGGGCAGGGTGGGGTCCATGGTGGAATGGAAATGACTGGCATGGTGGCCTAGAGGGGGAGCTCTTGCCTCCCAATCGGGAGGCTGTGAGTTCGATCCTAGGTAGGGGCTAATATTTGGAATAGAGCCTCCTGCTCGAGCAAGGGGTTGGACTAGATGACCTCCAAGGTCCCTTCCAAATCTGTTATTCTATGATATTTAACACAACATTTCTGTGGCTAAGTGGAACCTTGGCTCAGTGAGCTTGGTCCCCATTTTATGACCTTCCTGGCACACTGAGACCATCTTAAATGTGAACCAGCTATCAAACACCTGAATTTAGATCCCACATTGTGGTGAAGCCCAAATGGTTGTAAGTGTGGTGAAAAAAACGGCCCTAACTTGCTTTTTTTCCCCAGTGCCGTCGTAACTTCAAATGGTTGCTAAATGAAATACCGTAAGTTGGGGACCGCCTGTATCCATTTGACCATCTCGGGGTCACGCAATCGCTTTCCTCACCTGCTTCCAACAAGCAAAGTCATTGTTGAAAATCGTATCTGTTTAACGACACCGCAATTCACTTAACCAACGGGAGGAATTTCCTTTAACCGCCGTGGCAGAAAAGCTCGTAAAATGGAGCTTGATTTACCTATCAATGGCTTTGCTTAGAGCGGGGGAAATTCCAGTTGCCGTGGTGGTCGTACGTTCAGGAGCAGCCTGTAGCCAGCAACCCTCTTCGATTGAGGTGGAAACTACACCGATCCAATGAGGTCAACTTTGTGACCACAGTGTCAGGACTCCAACAAATCCACCCCCCATTCAAATCATGTCTCAAATCTACTCTCAGAGTAAAAAAGATTGATTTATTAGAAGTGGCCATGTCGCCGTTAGCTGGGTGCAGCCGACCACTAAAATACGTCATTCATTTCCCCCTTGACCCTGGTCTTCCTCCCACCCCCTGGATGTATATTCTCCAATGGGACACATCCATAGCCAAGAGTCATCGATCATTCTCTCCAGTAATATTCTTGTGCTCCGACAACTTTGGGCTGCCGGGGCGATTATCTAGGCACTTAAGGAAGGCACTGTTTTGCCCCGCTTCCTTTCTGCTGGCAGCTAAAAGGACCAAAGGAGTATCTTTTTAGTTGCCACACAGCTGACGTTTTTGGATCTATAGACTTCCCACCTCAATCAAGGGAGGTTTTTCCTATTTATTGGCAAATTAAATTTCCTCGGTGGAGCTTAACCCATCCTTGCGTCCATGTCACAGCCCCACAGCCACAATTCTGAAAAGGGTTAAGCCAGAGGAGGACAACGGCCAATGAACCTCATAGGTGAAGATTGAGGTCAACGAAGTGACCGTTTCAATCAACCGATCAATCAGAATAGACCTGGAAGGTACCTTGGAGGTCTTCTAGTCCAGCCCCCTGATCAAGCAGGGGGCCCTATAGCATTCCAGACCAATGGCTGTCCAGTCTCTTCTTGAAAACCTCCAGTGATGGGAGCACCTACAGCTTCTAAAGGCAATTTCTGTTCCACTGGTTAAGTGTCCTCAGTGTAAGGGGATTTCTTCTCAATTCCTTCTCTCCTGGGTCCATTTTTATCCGTTGCTTCTTGTCCTGCCTTCAGGGGCTTTGGAGCATAATTTCACACACCCCCTCATTTGGGGGTAGCCCCTCAAATACTTGAATTACTCCTATCATGTCCCCCCTAGTCCTTCTTTTCTCTAGATTAGCCAAACCCAATTCCTACAACACAGTGGTGGGATTCAAAATTTTTTTTTTACTACCAGTTCTGTGGGCGTGGCTTGATGGGCTTGGCATGGCTTGGTGGGCGTGGCAGGGGAAGGTTACTGCAAAAAATCCCCCTTCCCTCCCCACCCCACTAACCTGCTTTCCAGCTCCGTTCTCCTCTGCAGGGCAACAAAAGGAGACCCAGCCAATCAGCTGGGACTCAAGGGGAGGCAGAGAAGAGATGGGATTGGTGGGGCCAGTCAGAGGTGGTGTTTGCTGGTTCTCTGAACTACTCAAAATTTCCACTACTGGTTCTCCGGAACTGGTCCAAGCTGGCTGAATCCCACCTCTGCTGTATCTGTTCTCTGTATGTTTTAGTCTCCAGACCTTTAATCCTCTAGTTG